AACACACTATCATTGTACATTATAGGATCAGGTGTGCTACAAAGGAATGAACAAATAGAATGAACACGCATTCAACAGAACATGATACAAAGGAATGAACAAATAGAATGAACATGCATTCAACAGAACATGATACAAAGGAATGAACAAATAGAATGAACACGCATTCAACAGAACATGATACAAAGGAATGAACAAATAGAATGAACACGCATTCAACAGAACATGATACAAAGGAATGAACAAATAGAATGAACACGCATTCAACAGAACATGATACAAAGGAATGAACAAATAGAATGAACACGCATTCAACAGAACATGATACAAAGGAATGAACAAATAGAATGAACACACATTCAACAGAACATGATACAAAGGAATGAACAAATAGAATGAACACGCATTCAACAGAACATGATACAAAGGAATGAACAAATAGAATGAACACGCATTCAACAGAACATGATACAAAGGAATGAACAAATAGAATGAACACGCATTCAACAGAACATGATACAAAGGAATGAACAAATAGAATGAACACGCATTCAACAGAACATGATACAAAGGAATGAACAAATAGAATGAACACGCATTCAACAGAACATGATACAGAGGAATGAACAAATAGAATGAACACGCATTCAACAGAACATGATACAGAGGAATGAACAAATAGAATGAACACGCATTCAACAGAACATGATACAAGGAATGAACAAATAGAATGAACACGCATTCAACAGAACATGATACAAAGGAATGAACAAATAGAATGACGCATTCAACGCATTCAACAGAAACATGATACAAAGGAATGAACAAATAGAATGAACACGCATTCAACAGAACATGATACAGAGGAATGAACAAATAGAATGAACACGCATTCAACAGAACATGATATAAGGAATGAACAAATAGAATGAACACGCATTCAACAGAACATGATATAGAGGAATGAACAAATAGAATGAACATGCATTCAACAGAACATGATATAAGGAATGAACAAATAGAATGAACACGCATTCAACAGAACATGATATGATGAACAAAGGAACAATGAACAAATAGAATGAACATGCATTCAACAGAACATGATACAAATGAATGAACAAATAGAATGAACACGCATTCAACAGAACATGATACAAAGGAATGAACAAATAGAATGAACATGCATTCAACAGAACATGATACAGAGGAATGAACAAATAGAATGAACACGCATTCAACAGAACATGATACAAATGAACAAATAGAATGAAACAAATAGAATGAACACGCATTCAACAGAACATGATACAAAGGAATGAACAAATAGAATGAACACGCATTCAACAGAACATGATACAAGAGGAATGAACAAATAGAATATAGAGGAATGAACATAGCATTCAACAGAACATGATATAGAGGAATGAACAAATAGAATGAACACGCATTCAACAGAACATGCATACAAAGAACATGATACAAAGGAATGAACAAATAGAATGAACATGCATTCAACAGAACATTATATAAAGGAATGAACAAATAGAATGAACACGCATTCAACAGAACATGATACAAAGGAATGAACAAATAGAATGAACATGCATTCAACAGAACATGATACAAAGGAATGAACAAATAGAATGAACATGCATTCAACAGAACATGATATAAAGGAATGAACAAATAGAATGAACATGCATTCAACAGAACATGATATAAAGGAATGAACAAATAGAATGAACACGCATTCAACAGAACATGATATAAAGGAATGAACAAATAGAATGAACATGCATTCAACAGAACATGATACAAAGGAATGAACAAATAGAATGAACACGCATTCAACAGAACATGATATAGAGGAATGAACAAATAGAATGAACATGCATTCAACAGAACATGATACAAAGGAATGAACAAATAGAATGAACATGCATTCAACAGAACATGATATAAAGGAATGAACAAATAGAATGAACACGCATTCAACAGAACATGATATAGAGGAATGAACAAATAGAATGAACACGCATTCAACAGAACATGATATAGAGGAATGAACAAATAGAATGAACATGCATTCAACAGAACATGATATAGAGGAATGAACAAATAGAATGAACACGCATTCAACAGAACATGATATAGAGGAATGAACAAATAGAATGAACACGCATTCAACAGAACATGATATAGAGGAATGCCAGCCGAGGAATCCTAAGGGTTGTGGTTGCTCTAAGGCTGAGTGAGTGGGGAAGGGAAGAAGCCCACATGGAAGAAAAATATATTTTAAAAATATTCTTCACAAATATATTAACCTATGTTTGAAATACTAAAATTTTGGCCGTATTCAATATATTTCAATAAAAAAAAAAAAAAAAATTATATATATATATATATATATATATATATATTGTGGGAACTCGCTTCAAGTGGTAGAGCTCTTCTTGTTAAACACACAGCAACTCGCTTTCTTTTCAGGGCTTTTTTTACCCACTTTTATTTAAGAAAGTTCAAGAAAACACAAATGCTTCCCACGCAGGGGTATCCACCATCAAACACAACAATATTCAGCCTCCTGGCTTGCACGCAGTTTTAATTCTGCCTCCTGCAGACTCTTCCCAAAGTATGGCACTAGCACACAGCTAGTCCGGCTTCCACCTGACTCCACGGCAGAGACCTCCCGCCTGCCGGGGTGGAATCCTCCTGACTCCGTTTGCCGGGGTGGAGTCCTCCTAACTGCCGGGGTGGAGCCCAGACTCATGGCCTGGCCTCCACAAAAAGGCCTGCACACACCTGTGCAATCAGCACACTGGCTGCTCCCAAAATATGGGCCCAGGATTGGAGATTTCATCCCTCCCAAATCTCTTAGAAATCTCCAGGCAACAGGTCCCAAAACAGGCTTTACAAACCAAAGAGGAAACTTATAAACCCGTTTCCTCTGCATTATGAGAACTGCCTGGAGCCCCTCAACCTGCATGGTTGAGAATCCTGGGTCTCCATCATGATTTCCACCGTGGCAGGATACCGTACTGCCACAATATATATATATATATATACAGTATTTACCCATGTAGCCGCCGATGACATCATCAGCACATGCGCTCTGAAGGTACAGCATACCCGCGACGTTCCTTCACAGCCCTGTGCAGCAAACAGTGATTCCTTTACGCATGCGCAGAATCGACGTCCTCGAGGTTCAGCCAATCAAGTGTCCACAGCCAGCAAACCCAGAAGAAGATCGGGTGAAGATGGAATCCTTGTCAGCGGTGACATGGCACCCCTGGAGGGATCCGTTTCATAGGTAAGTCTTTCATAATGTGCTAGTATGAGGTGCACACCAGTACATGATGACTTTACCCTGCGAGGGGGGAACAGGTTTTTTTTTTACGGTTTTTAGCAACGGTTTATTACCACTGTAAGTGTTCCATTCTGTCTAGATAATGATAGGAATGTGGCACTTTGACCCAATTATCAGTTAATTTCATGCAGGCAGGAGGGTGTGCTCAGCTGAGAAAGCCCCTCCTCCCCTGAAGAGTTTTGGGATGTGTGACATCATTGTGGCCCGGGCCAGAAACCAGGAAGTAACTGAAGAAATGTAAAAAAAAAAAGTTTAAAACAAATAAATATAATCTACCTTCCTATCTATTTACTAATACTAGCAGGATAAGGATTAAAAATACACTATATTGCCCCAAGTATTGGGCCGCCGGCCTTTCCACACACATGACCTTTAATGGCCCCCCAGTCTTAGTCCGTAGGGTTCAATATTGAGTTTGCCCCGCCCTTTCCCACACACACGACCTTTAATGGCCCCCCCAGTCTTAGTCCGTAGGGTTCAATACTGAGTTGACCCCGCCCTTTCCACGCACATGACCTTTAATCGCCCCCCGGTCTTAGTCCGTAGGGTTCAATATTGAGTTGGCCCCGCCCTTTCCACGCACATGACCTTTTATCGCCCCCCAGTCTTAGTCCGTAGGGTTCAATATTGAGTTGGCCCCGCCCTTTGCCTCTTCTGGGAAGGCCGTCCACAAGGTTTAGGAGGGTGTCTATGGGAAGGTTGGACCATTCTTCCAGAAGCACATTTGTCAGGTCAGGCACTGATGTCGGGGGAGGGGGCCTGGCTCGCAGTCTCCGCTCTAATTCCTCCCAAAGGTGTTCTATGGGGTTGAGGTCAGGACTCTGTGCAGGACAGTCAAGTTCCTCCACCCCAAACTGGCTCCTCCATGTCTTTATGGACCTTGCTTTGTGCACTGGTGGGCAGTCATGTTGGAACAGGAAGGGGCCATCCCCAAACTCCTCCCACAAAGTTGGGAGCATGAAATTGTCCAAAATGTTGCCTTAAGAGTTCCCTTCACTGGAACTAGGGGGCCAAGTCCAACCCCTGAAAAACAACCCCCCACCATAACCATAATCCTCCCTCCACATGGCACAATGCAGTCAGGCAAGTGCCATTCTCCTGGCAACCGCCAAACCCAGACACGTCCATCGGATTGCCAGACACAGAAGCGTGATTGGTCCCTCCAGAGAACACGTCTCCTCTGCTGTAGAGTCTAGTGGCAGCGTGCTTTACACCATGGCATCCAACGCTTTGCATTGCACTTGGTGATGGAAGGCTTGGATGCAGCTGCTCGGCCATGGAAACCCATTCCATGAAGCTCTCTACGCACTGTTGTTGGGCTCATCTGAAGGCCACACCAAGTTTGGAGGTCTTTAGCTATTGACTCTGCAGGCAGTTGGTGACTTCTGCGCACTGTGCGCTTCAGCATGCGCTGACCCCGCCCTGTCATGTGACGTGGCCTACCACTTGGTGGCTGAGTGGCTGTTGTTCCCAGTGGCTTCCACTTTGTTATAATCCCACTAACAGTTGAGCGTGGAATATTTAGTAGCCAGGAAATGTCACGGATGGACTTATTGCCCAGGTGGCCACCTATCACGGGACCACGCTTGGAGTCACTGAGCTCCTGAGAGCGACCCATTCTTTCACCAATGTTTGTAGGAGCCGTCTGCATGCCTAGGGGCTTGATTGTATACACCTGTGTCCATGGAGGGGATTGGAACACCTGAATCACATGATATGGAGGGGATTGGAGCACCTGAATCACATGATTGGGAGGGGATTGGAACACCGGAATCACATGATATGGAGGCGATTGGAACACCTGGATCACATGATATGGAGGGGATTGGAACACCTGAATCACATGATTTGGAGGGGATTGGAACACCTGAATCACATGATATGGAGGGGATTGGAACACCTAAATCCAATGATTTGGAGGGGATTGGAACACCTGAATCACATGATATAGAGGGGATTGGAACACCTAAATCCAATGATTTGGAGGGGATTGGAACACCTGAATCACATGATATAGAGGAGATTGGAACACCTGAATCACATGATTGGGAGGGGATTGGAACACCTGAATCACATGATTTGGAGGGGATTGGAACACCTGAATCCTGAATCACATGATATGGAGGGGATTGGAACACCGGAATCACATGATTTGGAGGGGATTGGAACACCGGAATCACATGATTGGGATCTGGGGATTGGGAGGGGATTGGAAACACCTGAATCACATGATTTGGAGGGGATTGGAACACCTAAACCAATGATTTGGAGGGGACTGGAACACCTGAATCCCATGATTTGGAGGGCTGGCCCAATACTTTCGGCAATATGGTGTAGTTCATGATGATTGAGAGAGTTTAGTTCCGCTTTATTATGGACATAATACGATAAATAGGCATTTTATCATTATGTAAATGAAGTATTGAACCCGCACCGATAACTTCTTTCCACTGACTACTAGTAAGTAGTGATTATTAAATGGCAGAATTAAATTCTCAATTTGCCCCGTAAAAATGGAGCAGGAGATAAAATGACTTCATAAAGCACGAGGCCGCCTCTTATGGAACCAATGTATGTTTTAATAAGTGATAATGAAAAACGCTAATTAATATTAACTTCAAAGACAAATAAACGCACAGCTACCAGAACGCGCCATTCCCCAGCAGGCAAATTAGAGCACAAAGCAGAGTGAAGCTGCGCAGTAAATCAGGAGAGACCTTCCTTTCCCATCCTCGGGTCAGTCGGAGTTCAGATTACAGTGCGGTCCTCGCGCTCACTGCACTGCAGCAGCTCTTTGTTGAGACAAACTTGGGTATTACTTAGAGGGAAAACTACGGTCGACTTATCACCGAGCAGCAATGTTATCAACCGGGAAGTGTTGGCTAATTAGCATGCAAGCCGCGAGCGTTATTGGGAGCAAGATAACGAATGCAACTCCTGTGCCGTCCAATCTGCATACTTTACAGAACCGGCTCCTAGCAGATCACCAGGCATCACAAGATACGTATCTCCCCGTATATGTGTGAGGGACTGGGGTGGTGGGCCATTCGTGAGGTGGTTGGGTTCACCATGCCGAAAAACCTAACACCAGCAAAACGGAGCATTTATAATGCAAAAAGAGTGAGCTTTAACCACTTCCAGTCCGGACACTTTCCCCCCTTCCAGTCCGGACACTTTCCCCCCTTCCAGTCCGGACACTTTCCCCCCTTCCAGTCCGGACACTTTCCCTCCTTCCAGTCCGGACACTTTCCCCCCCTTCCAGTCCGGACACTTTCCCCCCCTTCCAGTCCGGACACTTTCCCTTCCTTCCAGTCCGGACACTTTCACCCCCTTCCAGTCCGGACTTTCTTCCAGTGCCGGACACTTTCACCCCCTTCCAGTCCGGACACTTTCCCCCCTTCCAGTCCGGGACACTTTCCCCCCTTCCAGTCGGACACTTTCCCCCCCCTTCCAGTCCGGACACTTTACCCCCCCTTCCAGTCCGGACACTTTCCCCCCTTCCAGTCCGGACACTTTTACCCCCTTCCAGTCCGGACACTTTCCCCCCCCCCACTTTCCCAGTCCGGACACTTTCCCCCCCCCCCTTCCAGTCCGGACACTTTCCCCCCCTTCCAGTCCGGACACTTTCCCCCTTCCAGTCCGGACACTTTCCCCCCCCCCTTCCAGTCCGGACACTTTCCCCCCCCTTCCAGTCCGGACACTTCCCCCCCTTCCAGTCGGACACTTTTCCCCCCTTCCAGTCCGGACACTTTCCCCCCTTCCAGTCCGGACACTTTCCCCCCCTTCCAGTCCAGACACTTTCACCCCCTTCCAGTCCGGACACTTTCACCCCCCTTCCAGTCCGGACACTTTCCCCCCTTCCAGTCCGGACACTTTCACCCCCTTCCAGTCCGGATACTTTCCCCCCCTTACAGTCCGGACACTTTCTCCCCCTTACAGTCCGGACACTTTCCCCCCCTTACAGTCCGGACACTTTCCCCCCTTCCAGTCCGGACTTTTTCACCCCCTTCCAGTCCGGACTTTTTCACCCCCTTCCAGTCCAGACACTTTCACCCCCCCTTCCAGTCCGGACACTTTCACCCCTTCCAGTCCGGACACTTCCCCCCCCCTTCCAGTCCAGACACTTTTACCCCTTCCAGTCCGGACACTTTCCCCCCCTTCCAGTCCGGACACTTCCCCCCCCTTCCAGTCCGGACGCTTTCCCCCCGTTCCAGTCCGGACACAATCCCCCCGTTCCAGTCCGGACACAATCCCCCCCTTCCAGTCTATATACGTGATTTCGCATTTCCGGGTAGGGGGCGTGCGCGGCCAGTGATAACTCGCCAGCGCCCGATGATTTCCGATGATCTCTGACAGGGAGGAGAACTTTTTTGTTTACCAACTGTCCTCCTCCCTGTCGGCTCAGGCACACTGCACAGCACAGCCATCCAAAGCAGTGTGCTTACAGTGAAGCACACAGACCCCGCCCCCTAGTAACACAGACACCACCCCTTAGTAAAACACTCCCAGCACACAGTTAACCCCTTTGATCACCCCTCATGTTAACCCCTTCCTGACCAGTGACATTAGTACAGTGTCAGGGCTTTTTCTTAGCACTGATCACTGTATTGGTGTCACTGGGGATGTCAGCGACACCAAGTCAGTTCCCCCCCCAGTGTCAGAATGCCCGCCGCAGTCCTGCAGTCCCGCTATAAGTCTCTGATTGCCACCATTACTAGTAAAAAAAAATTTAAAAAAAATTTCAGTATCTATACCGCCATTTGTAGACGCTAAAACTTTCACGTAAACCAATTTATTTCCACGTATTGGGATTGTTTTGTAGGAAAGACACGGAGCGGAATACATTTTGGCCCAAATTTATGGCAACATTTGACTTAATTTTTTTTGACTGGATATGTTTTATAGCAAAAAGTCATAAATATTGGGGTTTTTTTTCAAAATTGTCATTTTTTTTTTTATAGCGCAAAAAATAAAAAACGTAGAGGTGATCAAATACCACTGAAAGAAAGCTGTATTTGTGGGGAAAAAAGGACTTAGGTTTCATTTGGGTGCAGCGTTGCATGACCGTGCAATTGTCAGTTAAAGTAACGCAGCGCCATATCACAAAAAATGGCCGCGTCTGGAAGGGGGGAATCCTCTGGAGGGCGAGGGGTTAAAACCAGCACGGTATTCATCAGTAGCTGAGCTCAGCTAAACCACCTGGAATTCTCGACCTCATCCTGTCTGATCTTTTGGACAATCTTGCCTTGACCCTTGTTTCTGGTGAACCTTGAACTCTTTGCTCCTCCCATGAACTTCCCATTTATCCCATATTTCTGCACTTCCTGTTTCCCAAATGACTGTTCTCTCTCCAGCCGACACATTGCTCCTGCAGCTGACCTTTTCTCCTCTACTATACCGACCTTTGGCTTGTTCTCCGACTACGCTTCTGCTTGATCCCAACCTGCAACCACTTGTCACCCACCTTTGGCTTGTTCTCTGACTATGCTTCCTCTCGATCCCAACCTGCAACCACTTGTCACCCACTTCTGGCTTGTTCTCTGACTACGCTTCTGCTTGATCCCAACCTGCAACCACTTGTCACCCACTTCTGGCTTGTTCTCTGACTATGCTTCCTCTCGATCCCAACCTGCAACCACTTGTCACCCACTTCTGGCTTGTTCTCTGACTACGCTTCTGCTTGATCCCAACCTGCAACCACTTGTCACCCACTTCTGGCTTGTTCTCTGACTATGCTTCTGCTTGATCCCAACCTGCAACCACTTCTTACCCACCTTTGGCTTGTTCTCTGACTATGCTTCCTCTCGATCCCAACCTGCAACCACTTGTCACCCACTTCTGGCTTGTTCTCTGACTACGCTTCTGCTTGATCCCAACCTGCAACCACTTGTTCCCGACCTTTGGCTTGTTCTTCGACTTTGCTTCTGCTTGATCCCAACCTGCAACCACTTGTTACTGACCTTTGGCTTGTTCTTCGACTATGCTTTCCGCTTGATCCCAACCTGCAACCACTTGTTACCCAACTTTGGCTTGTTCTCTGACTATGCTTCTGCTTGATCCCAACCTGCAACCACTTGTTACCCACCTTTGGCTTGTTCTCTGACTACGCTTCCGCTTGATCCCAACCTGCAACCAGTTGTTACCCACCTTTGGCTTGTTCCCTGACTACGCTTCTGCTTGATCCCAACCTGCAACCACTTGTTCCCGAACTTTGGCTTGTTGTCCGACTATGCTTCTGCTTGATCCCAACCTGCAACCACTTGTTACCCAACTTTGGCTTGTTCTCTGACTATGCTTCCTCTCGATCCCAACCTGCAACCACTTGTCACCCACTTCTGGCTTGTTCTCTGACTACGCTTCTGCTTGATCCCAACCTGCAACCACTTGTTACTGACCTTTGGCTTGTTCTCCGACTACGCTTCCTCTCGATCCCAACCTGCAACCACTTGTCACCCACTTCTGGCTTGTTCTCCGACTAGGCTTCTGCTTGATCCCAACCTGCAACCACTTGTTACCCAACTTTGGCTTGTTCTCTGACTACGCTTCTGCTTGATCCCAACCTGCAACCACTTGTTACCCAACTTTGGCTTGTTCTCTGACTACGCTTCTGCTTGATCCCAACCTGCAACCACTTGTTACCCACCTTTGGCTTGTTCTCCGACTACGCTTCTGCTTGATCCCAACCTGCAACCACTTGTTACCCAACTTTGGCTTGTTCTCTGACTACGCTTCTGCTTGATCCCAACCTGCAACCACTTGTTACCCACCTTTGGCTTGTTCTCCGACTCCGCTTCCGCTTGATCCCAACCTGCAACCACTTGTTACCCACCTTTTGTTTGTTTACAGACGACGCTTCTATTTGATCTCTGGCTGCTATATTTGTTACCGGACCCCAGCTGTTCACCTCCTGGATGGGGTGATCCGGAGGACCTCAACCTGGTACTAACATGCAGCAAAATCTCCACCACCAGGAGCTCTGGTGAATACCAGTTAGTGCTTAGACCCCACACCTTGAGTCCGTGTCATCCCCCAGAGTGACCTGCTTGGGTAGTTATGCAGCTGATAGGTGGGAGCCTCTCTACTGATATAGCTACTGGTCTCCGAGCCTGACCCCTGACCCCTGACCCCTGACTGGGACACAATGCTGGAGGATGAACCACAGAAGAAAGGGCACATCTGCCAACACTCATTATGGCCCCTCTAAATTGCTCAGAAATGTGTGCAGACGTGTATGGGTGCTCAGATGCAGGCCTGTGCGAATGCATGCGTGTACACAATTGCGCACGCAATGAGCGTTTCTGGCAGCCAGTGGCCTGTTTAAGGTCAGTACTCTGGTATGCAAGTTACTGGATGATTGTCAGCTCTCTGTTACCCTGTGCTTCTGTGTTGCTATACTTCTGGATTCTCGTTCCTGACTCGGCTTTCCCTGACTTGTCTTGGCTCTCTCCTGGCCATGACCCCAGCGTGTTACATGGACTCTGCTACTGCCTGCCTCCTGTGTATGACCCCAGCGTGTTACATGGACTCTGCTACTGCCTGCCTCCTGTGTATGACCCCAGCGTGTTACATGGACTCTGCTACTGCCTGCCTCCTGTGTATGACCCCAGCGTGTTACATGGACTCTGCTACTGCCTGTCTCCTGTGTATGACCCCAGCTTGTTACATGGACTCTGCTACTGCCTGCCTCCTGTGTATAACCCCAGCTTGTTACACGGACTCTGCTACTGCCTGTCTCCTGTGTATGACCCTGGATTGTTACATGGACTTTGCTACTGCCTGTCTCCTGTGTATGACCCCAGCGTGTTACATGGACTCTGCTACTGCCTGTCTCCTGTGTATGACCCCAGCGTGTTACATGGACTCTGCTACTGCCTGCCTCTTGTGTATGACCCCAGTGTGTTACATGGACTCTGCTACTGCCTGTCTCCTGTGTATGACCCCGGCGTGTTACATGGACTCTGCTACTGCCTGCCTCCTGTGTATAACCCCAGCATGTTACATGGACTCTGCTACTGCCTGTCTCCTGTGTATGACCCCTGCGTGTTACATGGACTCTGCTACTGCCTGCCTCCTGTGTATGACCCTGGATTGTTACATGGACTCTGCTACTGCCTGTCTCCTGTGTATGACCCCAGTGTGTTACATGGACTCTGCTACTGCCTGCCTCCTGTGTATGACCCCAGCTTGTTACACGGACTCTGCTACTGCTTGCTATGTGGACTTCGCTTACTGCCTGTCTCCTGTGTATGACCTCGGCTTGCTATGTGGACCGGCTAGGTCTGTGACCACTCTTCTGCTCCTACTCCTGACTCACCTACTATGCCTTATTCCTGGCTCTGGTTCCTGACTCCGCCTCCTGTTCTGCTCTGTCATGATCTGCCTAGGCATCTGAAGTTCCGCTTGTCCTGCTGGTACCACAGCACAAGCAAGACTTCACCTGCTCATATGGACTGTCTTCTGTTCTGTTTTCACCGCCGCAAGGTCAAGTCCATTTCAAGTGTCTCATCTACTCTGCCCATCAGGCTACTCCATAGCAGGCAACCTGTTCTTCTTTGGGGGCAGCACTCCTTGTTCCCACCTTCAGGGGTGTTCTGCAGTCAGCCCTAGGAGGAGCCCAATCGTCACTTCAGCCTCCGACACACAATGCGTGCTTCTCCTTGGTCTAATGTGTCTTATTAGCCTTCTGGACTTTTTAATATAGGCGTGTTTAATGTCTAACTGATGGTGGTATCTTCTTCTACATTAATGTACTTTCCTTTTTTATGAGAGTAACTCCATTAGCATAAGAATTATGGAATTTGAATATTGGGAGTTCAGCTATTGGTCATTATAGGTCAGACTTCCAGATGTGTATTCCTAAACTGCAGACTATTTATGACATGACCATTTATAACAGGGCCTCATCAAGACAGAAGTTCATTGCAGACCCTGAGCTAGCTTTAGTTTATAATGACCATC